TTTATAAAATAAATATAGTTACTGCAGTAGATGTAAAAATATAATCCTTTACATTAATACCTAAATACAGGTAGGCCAAAACTTATAAAGTTTCAAAAAGTTACTTGTTGAATTTGGAACACATTTTCCCACAGGAGAGGTGGGGAATGGGAGGGAGGCTAGTTCTCAGATTAGTCCATGAATCTGTTTGTTCTCTAATGTACTGGAAATAACAGCAGGAGTTTCTGATCCCAGAACCTAAGAGCCCTATGGTTTGGAGATAAGCAAGGTTAAGGTAGAGGGTATTTTCTCTTTACTAGACACAAGACTATTTTCCTGAGCAAAACTGTGGAATGAGCAGTTTGACTCTTTAGACAAAGCAAGATGGAAAAATACATTTCTCTTAAATGGAAAACTTGAAATTGGATTAGTGTGTGCTTTCTGAAATTGGCAGTCTTCTCCCTTTATTTCAGTACCTTAAGTGACTAGTTCTCAAAGGTCAACTTAAACATCAAAAAGAGGAGGAATTTGTCAAAATACATATTTCTGGGCTTCATCATACAGAAAACTAAAATGCCAGGGATCTGGACCCTAGGAATATACATCTTTTAAGAAGCTCCCCATATGAGTCTAATTAGACTACAACTGCAAAATCACTGATCTAAAATTCTTCAATTTTCTTTGTCCACAATGATTACTAGTGACACTATAAATACCCATGACAGCAAAGGAGCGTTTTTGTTTTTACATATATTGGAAATTTGGAATGCAGGAACTATTTGTAATATGAACCGCTCCGCCACTTCCCGCCAAAATGAAACATTGTTTTCTGCCCCAAGTTGTGATGTGGTGATTATATACATGACATGTTGAATAGTGTGTTGAATTAACTAAAATCTTTACACTTCAGAGTTTCTTCTTTAACTGAAGGCTGACAATTAAAGAAGAGACAGTGAATGAAACTTTTTAGCCTGTATGTTGAGTTATTACCAAAGTACAGTTGCGCCTCCATATGCCTGGCTTCCATATCTCCAGATTGGATCAAAATTGTAGTTATGGCAAGCATCTGTACTGAATATGTACATTTTTTTCTTTTCATTTTTCCCTAAGCAATACTGTATAACAACTATTTACATAGCATTTACATTGCATTAGGTATTATAAGTAATCTAGAAATGATTTAAAGTTTTCAGGAGAATGTGCATTGGTTATATGCAAATACTATTTCGTTTTATATAAGAGGCTTTAGCATTTGTGGATTTTGGTATTTGCAAAGTATCCTGGTATCAATCCCCTGAAGATATTGAGAGACAACTGTACCATGCTTATGTTTATTAGACTAATATTTCCTAGATCGAAAAATCATTCATTTAATTAATGTACCAGTAACCTAATGAGCTTCTAATTAGAAAAAGGAAATTCCTTATGAACCCAAAGAATATTTTTTAATCTAGAAAATTATTTGGGTTACAATGCTTAGAAAGTTTCTGTTATATGTAAATAATGCTGGGATAGTGCATTGTAATGGCACCAACACATCAATAGAAACATGAGTAGAATCTTTTTTAAATAATTTAAATTAGGGATTTTCAAATATTTGAAGTTAGGATTTCCATTTTTACCTGTCCTCAGTATTGACCTTCACAATGCATACAAATTCTAGGTAGGTGTGTGTGTTGTACAGTTCCTACTATGTCATCTTCAGTCTAAGGAGAAAGCAAAACCAAGCCTCCCTAATTTTAAGATTCATTTTATAGAAATGTTTCTTTAAACCCATTTCAATATTATAGCAGGAAACTTTTCATAATTAAAATGTCTAAATTGTCCTTCCATTCTAACTTTCATGGTTATGAGATAATTTGTATAAAATAATTTCCTATTTAGTCACTACTTCTAGGTTTTCTTTTTCCCAAAAGAACATCCTTCCAGAATAACTCATGCCATTTCTCCCCTTCTTGATCCTCAGGGAGAGTGATGGATGTCATTCAACTCCTGCCTTGGTGGCACTCCCTGTGGAGTGGCAGCTGGGAGAAAATGCATTCTGGGATCAGAATGTCAACAGAATGGATATTTAATAATAATAATAATAATAAAAACCTCTAATGCGGATGGGGCACATGTGGTCTGGCACTCTATGGCAGATTCACATTAGCTATACTTTCTCTGCCTGCCACAAATATTTAAATAGTTATTAGGGGGAAAAAAGAAAGAAAGAATGAGTATGTAGCAGCCGGGAAATTTGTTTTATCCTCCCTCACAGACTTGCCAGACACCATCAGAAAACTGGGGAGCAGTGTCTAATTATGCCAACCCTTCTTATGCTGCTTTAAACACATTTAGGTTGGTCCCTAAAAGCTAGATTACATGATAGATAAGTGTGTGTGAGAAACTTTATGGTAGGCAGATACATACATATGTCTCTTATTCCCAATGCTTTAAGTAGAAATACAGGTATATTGTTTCTATGCATAATGCTAAGAATAACCATATTGAATATGTTTACACATATACTATGTAATTAAATAATTAACAGTAAGTTTGTGCCCCATGTAAAAATCTGTTTTCAAGTGTATAAAGTATTTATGAGCTCTATTTATTTAAAAAGAAGTATTTAGAGATCTATTTGAAAAAAATGCTTCAAACTTATTAGGTCTAACTTAAGCTAAGCCAATAAATATTCTCTTTCCCAAAGAGCTAACTCAACAATTTTATTAAGATATCAATACAAGTTTCTCAAATTCAGAGCTACCTCACAAATAGTTTTCTTAAAAAAACACTTTATCTTCATTTATCTTGTTTAGTTTAAACCATAATGTAAATAGTTTTTTGTTTAAAAAATGCTCTCAAATCTTTGCTTAGTAAAAAAATTAACATATTAATGTGTTTTACCAGCTACTAGAGGTTAAATTTTGATTACTAACTTAATGATACATTTATATAATTGATGGTAGCTGTTCTCAATAGGGAGACTGGCTGTAGCAAATGCATTTATTTAGCTGAGAAAATCACATATGTTTTTGTTTTTAACTCTAAATGATATTTGAATGTCCTTTTAATAGATAAATAGCTCTTTGTGTCAAAATGAAAATAGTAGATTAAAAATGAATGTGATAATATAATGCTATCTTTAACAAATCAGATTGTTGATAGAAATAAAATACAGTATTTGTGAGCTGGAAAATAAATGTTATTTAAAAATCTCCTGATGATATGTCTTTATCAATAAAATATGGCCCCAAATATTCAAAAATACTGAAAGTGATCATCAAAAATGTGTTCATGTTTCTAGTTGCTAGATAAATATTTTGACATTCCCACAGATAACTGGAATAAATTTTTACATATTGTATTTATGGGTAAAAATTAGAATATACTTGACATGTTTTTCTCTGGTTTTATGTGATTATTTTCTTTTTGAAAAGGCAACCTACAGTTAAAGTATTTTAGGATCTAAATAAACATAACAGTGAATCAGAAGATTAATTTTTCTATTTTCTATCACAATAAAATATTCCATTCAAAATATTTTCTCTTTGTCTACTACATTGTTTTTCCTACCCAAACTATGTCATAAATGACACAATTTTGAGAGGTAATAATTTTAATATTTTTAATTTTTAAGGCAATACAATCGTTTGAAAAGTTTTAGAGTTCTAAAGTTTTAATTTCACTCACATTTTAAAATATTACATTGAAATAAGTGAAAATTACTTAAATTGAAAGGTTTGTGGATCACTAAAAGAAAAAAAATGTAAAAAGAATCTTTTTTCTTCTTTCTTTTCTTCCTTTCCTTTTTAAAATATATATTTTAAAAATATGTATCTTTTGTCATATAAATCAAAGTTTACAAATAGTACTTATGAATCAAGGTTTCCAAATATTGTGAATGCAAGAGGAAAAAAAATTAAAGAGTGGGTAAAATACCAGAGGGATTACAAATTTCTTGTCTTGTACCTTATAAGGAGGAAAAATTATTTTCAGTTTAACTATCCGAATAGCTTACTCAGCAATAAAATTTTAAGATTTTTTAAAACTAAAATCTCATAGAAACCAATTCCTTGATTTTATTGCTCAGATAAAGTTATTCAAAAGTGCTGCCAGAGTAAAGGAAAATTTTATTTTGCAACACCCCTAAGAAACATCATTTATAGAAATAGTCCCTACAGATTAGATCCTTGAATTCTACATGGAATTCTCGGGATTTTGTAGCAACTTGGAGTCAGGAGAGGATTCAAGGAAGGAAAACTTCAACAAGGGCCAGAGATGTGGTGCAGTAAGGCCCTTAGTTGCCCTCTCAAAACTTCACTCCCTTATATTTACATAGCTCCATTTCATAAGAATTTTAAGATTATATTCCATCTCCATGTAAGTGCTATATTTCGTCAAAGTGGGGATGTAAGTTTGACATAGGTCTTGTTGAAGAGTACCACAATAAGTCAGATTCAGAGCTTTCTAAAGTCATACATTTAACAAATGAAAACTGGTGAAGAATCTTCAAAGTTCTTTTCTCTATAATATTTTTCCTATTAAATAAATTTAAAAATTTGATGTATATTCTAAATCTTGTGCTCTTTCAGAGGCATCAGGAATGTATGGATAATTTTTATGATATTTATTTATATGAGTTGAACATATACCCCTTAACAAAATCCTTAAGAACTGTTGTCATTTTCCCTGGACAGCTTTTCTCCAAAAAGTATGACATATACAATCTTTACGCCATCTCAACAGAAATACCATATCTCAAAAATCCAACATTTACTCCTGATGCTCACTGCAAGCCCCTTTTAAAAATACTTCAAAAATCCACCTTTAGATATGTGAACACATTTTACTATTTTTATAAATAAATATAATTCTCAATGTATTGTATTTCCTTTTAGGTATATTTACTTATATAGGTTTTTTACCCCCATTTTGCAGTCTGATTTCAGTCTTTTTCCACTTTTAATTTCATTACATCTGCTTCTTGCCCAACATTCTCTTAGAACATCTGGCAGCCTCCTGCTCTGAATGTTTACCTTTCTGTTCATGCTTTGACACAGCTCCTGCCTCTCTGTCCTCCTTCTCCTTGGGTTTAGATGGGGGCTTCTGTACTTCTTTCACTTTTGCAGCTGTTGGCTTCGCTTTCTCTTGTTTCCCACCTTTTACTTCCTTTTTAGTCTTTTCTTCAGACCTAGTTTTCTTCTCTTCTGTATAAAGTTAAGAAACATTGGATTATTTTTGTTTATTTAGCAACATAATATTTCATCTGTAATTGGTCATTAAGAAAAGTTGAAAAAGAGAGAAGAAAAACAATAGAAAAATAGTGTTCTTTACAGAAATACTTGTGACTTTTATTATAGTTTTGTCATTTATGATGTGCTGTTAAGCTACTAAAAATAGCTCATTAGCAAATTGTGACTCTTTCTTAATTCGTACATGGAAGTACTATTTTTTTGGTAATCAGGAAATTAACATGTCATAAATGTATTTGTAATGTGCAGAGGATGTATACACAGGCATGTTTGGTGAAAAACAATGTTCATACCAAAGAGCCCAGTGAACTAGTCTCCTTTTATAAAGATGTGATCATTTTGCTCCACAACTGAAAAATCTTTAGGGTCATTCAAGAAACTGAAATGCCAACACAATCTTTTTTAAGATAACTATTAGGAATACAAAGATAAAATCACCTGCACTGGTATTGACTAATAGAAATAAAACAATACACTCCATTAGAGGATAACTGAGAGACACAGTGTCTAATGATTTGGCTTTAAAGAGATTGAAAGAGTACAAAAATTGGTATATTGGCTCCTTCTTATCTTAATCCAGAGATAATTGTAATGTGGTATTTCATTTTGTTTTTTGTTTTTGTTTTGAGACAAAGTTTCACTCTGCTGCCTAGGCTGGAGTGCAGGAGTGCAATCATGGCTCACTGCAACCTCGAACTCCTAGGCTCAGACAATCTTCTTACCTCAGCCCCCCTGAGTAGATAGGACTACAGGTGCCTGGCTAATTTTTTTACTTTTTATAGAGACGAGGTCTCACTATGTTTCCCGACGGGTCTAGAACTCTAGGGTTCAAGCAATCCCCCCTTCTTGGTCTTCCAAAGCACTGAGATTACTGGCTTGAGCCACCACACTGATCCTCTTTAATGATTTTTAAAGCACTTAAATATATTCTGGGAGATAGAAAGGGTTATAAATTAGAATATATATGAATGGGAATATATATTCTACACATACATATTCTTAATTTGATATTATACATATTTGGTAACACGGATATTGGATGCAAATTAGTCTGTGTGGATAATTTATTTTTTAAAAAGAAATAATAATATAACATATTTGTGAAAAAATAGTCATAACATAAACTATATATTGGACATTATGTATTGTATGGGACCACACATAATCACTGTGTGTATCCTTTTGTTACTCATAAAAAGAATTTGATGAAAATAATATCAAGTTTCTTAATTTTGGTATACTAAATAATGATTTGAGATTAAGCCAAGATAAGATTGGGAAGTCCCATTGAGACAAGAATGAAATTGACAATGCCAGATGCTGGTTAGCTTGCAAAATCAAAATTATTTGTGTTACTCCATTTAATGGACTTGATCAACACCTCCCAAAACATTGTTTCTCAGAAACTTTACAGGGAGATATTGGTATTGTGTTAGGGGTTGGAAGATATTCTTATGATGGAATAAATTTTGAAACACTAAGTTAAACTGGTTTCTTTTAGCTTGAAATTTCTCAAAGCTAAAGTATATTGAGAATTATCAAGAAGGGGAATTATTCTATACACATTATACAATGTTATTTAGCCACAAAATTCTCACACAGATATCACCCAATTACTCCATAAACTTCTAATGTCTTTGTGGCTTCTGTGACTATACTCAGTAGATTTTTCTTTTACTTCCCACAAAAAATTTCTATATCTCCGTTGCCAGTTTTTGCTCTTTTCTGCAGCAAACTCATACATTTGTGTAACTGAAACCATCCGCTTTCTGTGGATGACTATAAATTAATGACATTGCAGAACCTCACATCAAAAAATCTGTTAGTGTCTATTTGGAAAGAAATTTCCACTGGAATAGCCAATAGCACCTCGAAATCATACAACTCATTTATGTTCACCTAAAAACCCCTTTCAGAGGAACTATCTCAGCCTGGGCTCACAGCAAAACCCCTTTCAGAGGACCTGTCTCAGCCTGGGCTCACAGCAAAACCCCTTTCAGAGGACCTGTCTCAGCCTGGGCTCACAGCTAACGCACTGTGAGTGCTAAAGAACAACACAATAATATAACTCTCTGAAGAAACTTCAGCAAGGCATTTAAAACCCTGCCATATCTGGCACCAACCTATCCCTCCTCTCACAGCATCTTTCCAAAAATTTCTCCCTCCTCTAGACTACTTCCTTTTTCTTGAATAGCTCATACATTTTCCATGTGTCAAACATTGTCACACTGCATTCTCTATATTTTCCATGTTTTCCACATATTTAAATTTCTTCATGTTTAATTCACAGGCAAAAAAATGGCTCTGCCATTGGAATTAATCATTTCTTCTCCTGATCTTCCATTTGCCTGAACTTTTATTAAAGTACACATATTATTCCCTATATCTTGTATTACAGATGGTTGTTCACCTGTCTTCCCTACCAATCTGAGAGCAATGTGAGGATACGAACTCTTATTCATTTTTGTAATAGCTTAGTGTCTAGCACAATGCTTTTTTCAGAGAAAACACAGAAGAAATGTATTATATTAGCAATTTTGATTAAGGAGTGAGTAAACGTTGCACTATACTCAGATCCTATGTATCATATAGTGATACACAGATTGCATCTGTAAATATGTGTTTAGAAACAAACTTGTCAAAACTTGTTAAATTTGCTGTGTTTCTTGTTAATATTTTTGTGTGAAATTGTTATTTTTGCTTACCCTAAATGATCCCATGTACTTCTTCTAAGTGGCAGCTGATTTACCCTTAGTGTCATAATACAGAATTAAAGAAATGTGACATTCAGGTCTATTTTTAATGCCATTATGATTTAATGGGCAAATATGATTTTCTAAGAGGCAGACCACTCATTATAAACATTGTTTTTTAAGTGTAAAAATAATAAAATTTTCCCCTCCAAATTTTAGACGTGTTTTAGTGATCTTAATTCTTGAAAAAATAACTTTGCCTCATATTAGAAAAAAATGGATAGGAACTCAACAATGGTGTGGCTATAATAAAGAAAATATCACAAAATGGTAGCAACATTCAACTTCTATTTATTTTTATCAAACTGGGTAGATATTCTTAAATTTTCTGCACAATATTTTTCCTGACTTTTCTCAAAATGAATTTAAGTGGCATTTGTAGTTAGGAGTTCATTAAGGGATGAAAAAGCAAAAAGTATTGCCATGTTGTATTCAAATCACTCAGTTTTATTTAGGAAGACATTTGATTTATGATTTTGTAAAATGGAAAACAAGATGGTCTAATCAAAAGAATGACAAAAGCATATTTGATCCAGTTTTGGAATTAGCACAACCCATTAACAACTGTGTCAGAATCAAAATGTCTAACACCAAAGAAGAAAGGCAGCATTACCCAATAAACATATTAACATAGCATGCATTTTGGGAGCTAGAAAATAACAAATTTCATCTCTCATTTATTAAGGAATTGCAAACTGCTTCACTTCTCTATGCCTCCCTCAGTTTCTCTACATTAAAAAGCCAATCACTATGGTACCTGTCATTTCTTCTCAAGAAGCTGTGGAGATAAGTAACAATGAGCAAAAAACTTTTGAATCCTGCAAAATAAGTACATAATAATTTCTAATATTAAATCTACAGATGCTGCATTCCTATAGCTCTTGGAGTTTCCCTAAAACTTACCCAGAGTTAAATGTGTAGCAGGAATTACTATATTATACTCACTTTACATATGAAGAATCTAAGGATCAAAAAGCCAGTTGTCAAAGATAGTGCAATTAAATGAGTCAGGAGTAGGGATAGTGGAACCAAAATGTCTAATCCATTTTCTAATTATACTAAGTTGTTTCATATTCCTAATATTAACCTATGAAGATTATACCAAAAATGTATTTTAAGATAAATGAGAGCAGATATAAATACAAGGGGACTAAGTGACAGCAATAAAATGTCTTCCTAAAAGTGATCAGGAGAGCATTAACCTTCCCCACGTCATCAAGCACACCAATATCTGAAAGTTGTTACTTCCATGTCAGTTAGACAGCCTGGCCCTACTTGGTTCGCCCCACTCAACTTCTCTTCCCATCATTCTCTTCTTCTTCCCTGTCTTTGTTATTTTTAATGAACTACAGAAATAGTCTAATTTTTCCAGTGGATATAGGGTTCTACCCATGGACCAGGGTAGACATCGAAAGGTCCACTCTTTCCCAGGAGGAAGTCCTGAAGTGGTCTAATCAATTGCTGCCCTTAAGCAAGCAGTGCTTGAAACAGAGCAACAAATTTGCTGTTTCCATGAGAGCACCTCTGGAAATCAAAGGACGTCAGAGGATGATTCTACTTTAACACTGGTCACACCATTCAAAAGCAATTTATCTTCATTCCTATCTTAAATGCCATACAGTATAATTTATGCCTTTTTTGTCTTATTTTGTTTTCCCCAGAAACCACCCACAATACAAAGAGCACTTTTTATAAATTTCCTATTCTTAACGTAATACATTCACATATAAAATAAAAAAAGAAAATTATATATATATGTGTATACACATGTATATACACAGGTGTATACACAGGCATATTTTAAACAAACACATATAAACATATATGTATATGTGTGCACATATGTATATACATATATGCATGTGTACATACATATACACGTGTTTATGCATATGTTATATATGTATAAACATAAATATGCATATGCATAAATATATATTATATATATTATATATATATCTTTTGCTTGTATCTATATCCCCCAGAAGAACATAAATATATAAATAGAAAGCATTTATGGCAGTCAGACTCAAGATGGCTCTAATGGTTCCTACCTTCTGGTATTCATATCCTATTGTAATCCTCTTCCCTTGAATATGGGTTGTCCTAGGAATTTGCTGCTCACCAATAGTATATGGCAAAGGTGCTTAGAGGTGACTCCCATGATTAGTCTATATAAGATTGTGATTTCTGTCTCACTAACTTTTTCTCTCTTGTTAGGTTTGATGAAGACAACCCCCATGTTAGTGAGACATATGTGGCAAGGAACTAAGGATAGCCTCCAGCCAACAACCAGCAAGGAACTGAAGCCTTAATTTAAACAGCCCTTGAAGAACCGAATCTTGCCAGCAACCATGTAAATGAACTTGGAAATGATCCTTCCTCAGTTGAACCTTTGGATGACTGCAGCCCTGGATAGCACCTTAGATGGAGCCTTGTGAGACTCTGAAGCCAAGGACTGACATAAGCACTGCCCAGATTCTGGATGCAGAGAAACTGTGAGATAATAAACATGTGCTGGTTTAAGCCTCAAAATTTGTGATAATGTTTTATACAGAAATAAATAACCAATATAGCATTCCACAAAAATTTTTTGAAGGAATAAATGATACTAAACAAGTTTTATTTTGTTTTCATTGTAAAGAATACTAGATTTATAGTCATTTCACCTGTGTTTTCATCGTAATCCAATCACATACTAGTTATATGACCTGATCAAATTATTTGCTGTCTCTGGAGGTCAGTTTCTTCATATATTAACCTAGGTAATTAATTTGAATGATCTCTAAAATACCTACTATATTTCATATAGGTGTGATATATGATTTCATATATATAAAATGAAAATAAATTATATATACAAAATTTATTTTCATTTGCATTTATGAAACAGAAGAGAATCAAGTAGAATAAACTTGAATTTATTAAATTTAATTTAATCTTGAGACTAAAATCATGCTACCTTCAAGAAAACAAAATCCCAATTTATAATTCATCCAAATTAACTTCAATAAAATTATATTTGATTATCTCATAAAAAAATTTAGTTTAAAAATATATCTGCCTAAAATATCTAATTATTTTATATTGTATCGATAATCAAATTGAATTTTGAAAATATATTTTAATTTTTACCTAAATGTTTATTTTCTTGAAAATATTAGATGAAGGTTTCTAAAATATACATATGATATAAAACCTATATTTTAAAAGATGAGGAAGAAATTTAACTTGAGGAAATAAGATTGCGCTACCAGTTAAAATACATTTTTCCTATCAATTGGTAGATAAATTTACAGCAAAAAACTGTGTTTTCTCAATCTTCCAAAATACAACATATTACAGTAATATTCCAATTAATTGTTTGGTATATTATTAAAGTAATTTTGGTTCTCAGAGTCTTAAATTATTGATCAAGATGTATGCATGACCGTTTCTTTTTGATAAAAGCAAATCCTGAATTTGAGTCTTCTAAAATCAAACTCAAGGTGTAATACTGGTCAAAAGCTGTGAACTAGATGTGTTCGTTTTCTCTTGCTGTAGTAACAAATTACCACGAACTTGACTACTTGAAGTTATACCCATTTATTACCTCTCAGTGTTCATGATTCAAAAGTCTCAATATGGCTCAACTAGGTTCTCTGCTCAGAGTCTGGAAAGCTAAAATGAAGTTGTCAGCAAGGCTGTGTTTCTTACTGGAGGCTCTGGGGGAGAATTGGCTTTCATGTTTATTTAACATGGAGGCAGAATTCATTCCTTTCTCACGTTTTCCACATGGGCCACTTAATTTTCAAACCAGCCAAGGGGGACAAATCCACATACTTCAAATCTCTCTTTCTCTTCTGCCAAATCTCTCTGCTTTTAAAGATTCATGATACTACATTGAGCCTGCTTGGATGACCCAGGACATTCTCCCTATTTTAGATCAATTGTAACTACCTCTGCAAAATCCCCTTTGCAATGTCATGTAACATAGCCATAGGAAAAACATCAAGGGGGAAGGTCATGGAAACCCAGATTCTGCCTTTATATAGTAAAGCTCTTCACTTTCCTCTCATATTTTGAAATTCTCTATTATTTTAATAAGTATTTGATTTCATCATTCTTTTAGATAAGAAACTTTAAATATAAGTCTAAATTGATTTTTTATGTAAATGAAATACTGAATACTTAAAAATATCTGTCATCCAAAATATAATCTTTCAAGTAAAAAGAATTTAGTTATAGAAATAAAGGGAAAAATTACCTTTTGTCACTGTCTTTGTTTCTGGTTTTTCTTTTTTCTCAGTTTTTTCCTTGTGAGTTGCTTAAACAGAAAATTTTACATGAGTACACATTTTTAATAGATTTCAAAAACAAGTTTCTTTTGATCTCAGTTTTATTGCCACTAAAATTATGTAATATTTTGAAGATTTCTTACATTAATGAGCCTAATTCAGCAATAAAGAGTTACAAATGTAATATTAGCTGTATAGCACTCAATGTAAAAGGTTTAGCATTTTAAGACTTAGAAAGCATTTTGAAAGCTAGATCCACCCTGCTTTTATAAGTCATTATTCCAAGTAGATAAAGCTTTCAGGGAAGACAAACTGAGAGGGAACAATTTTATAAGAATTTGTCAAAAAATATATTATTGTGTCAAAAAGAAGAACTATTTTTAGAATTAAAAAAGAGAAATATTTAAATCATGACTAAGGATTTGATTAAGTGTTTCTCAACAGGGGCACAATCGACATTTGGAAAATAACAATTCCTGGCTACAAGGGACTGTGTTATGCATTTAAAAAAATGCTTAACCTTTCTGGTCCCTGCTTAACAAACGCCCTTCACTCCAATGTCATTTTGACAACCAAAAATTTTCCAAACATTCGCTAAGGATAACACCTTTAGTTGAGAACTAATAATAGTGTATAAAGTCACTCAAAAAAAGATTACTGATTAAGTACTGATTCTTCATTGAACAGTAATCCACATGATACCAGAAACATTATACTGCCTCATTGTTTTTTAATAAATTAATAAATCAATATGAATTTATTTTAACTTTTATTTATATACTCTGATAAACTCTTGTATCTCCCAATAGTTATAGTAAAGGAGATCTGAGAAGTACAACAGCATGTACAGCTTATTTTTAAATTTCAAATACATTAAAACTGTGTGATTTGGTAGCTTCCCAAATCACCACACATTTTTCAACACTTATATATTATATGCTGGAGAATAACACTGGGAATTAAATAAATTATAAAAAGTTAAGTGATAAAATGCAAGAGTTAATTAAACAGTTGGTTTCAGTAAGGTGCCAAATTACTGGAGTAAAAAATTGGAGTCCCAGATATTCCTACTTCTCCAACTAAATTGTAAGAACAGTAACATACATCAGCTTTACTTATATCATAAAAGGATAAATGTGCTTGATATACATATATTTTTTAAAAACTATTCTCTTTAGATACAGTCTATGAAAAGTTTCCCCAGAATCTTAGAGAGATGATGTAAGCCTTATAAAAAGCTTAGAGCATAATGTGCAGTTGAAGACCAAGTGACCCTGACAGATGCAGAGCTGCTGAGAGAGCAGGTGCCTCCTCCTCCAGGGTTTCCGAATCTCCACCACGCAAGCCTGCCCACAGTCACCTCCTTTACCATGTGGGGTTGTGGGTAACACCTTAGACAATGTTAGCAGAGGGAGTCCTATGGCAGACTAAGCAGGGCACAATTCACACAAGGTCATCTAACTATACTGTAATAACCTATCTCTTAAAAAAATCCTTTAATTGGTATACAATAAGTAAAAGAGCACTTATAATGTAGCATTTTATTTCTGCCTTTCAATTTGGATACATTTTCCACAACATTTACAATTTAAGGGCAAAACATTCTCAATATTATTTTTAAGCAAAAAAACACATTTATCTAATGTGGAGGTTGAAAAATAATCACAAGAAATAGCAGAATATTTCCTTTAGTCAGAGTACACAGAACCTGATGCTAATAATTTTGTATAATTCAGGAGCAGACAGAAAATGGTCACTAGGTTCCAGAACAGAGAAAGAAGAAGGCTGTATTGAAATTCAAGGAAATTTTCACTAAGTTAACATGAATAAAATAACGACTATTTAATTCAAATTTTTCAATGTGAATATACAATAAATTACACTGAAGCATGTTTCAACTAATCTGGTTTCTAAATGTCATAATATGTTCTACCAAAGTGGAATGTTAAATAAAACAAGAAAACTCAGCAGACTATGGAAACTGCGGATGCATAAATCAGCTGAAATATAGCTCATATACCCTAGACATGATCTACTCTAAACATCAAAAATTAAATTAGGATATTGCCTCACATCATACACTGAAATGAATTTTTGATGTGTTAAACTTAAACATAAAATATGAAATAACTTTTTAAAACTTGGGAAACTATTAGTGGCTACTGAATTAATTGTTGAATGAAGGTTCAAAAGCAGAAAGACCACAAAAAATATCAACATATCTAGCCACATAAAAATTCAAGAATGCGTACTAATTACGCACACACATGCATACACTCAGACATGGACTCACACATGTACATTCACACAGACAGAAATTATAACATTAAATGCAAAACAAACTGAGAAAAATATGTGAAACAAGTGTTAGACCAAGGGATATAAGTATCAAATGACACACATACATGTCATTTGGAGAAATGGACTATGAATGTGAACAGTTACACAAGAAAATAATGTACATCACTAAAAGTCACATTTAAATCTTCTCATTTACAAATAAAAAACAGTTAAAAAATACAGTGGAAGGAAATATTCCCATTTAAATACTATGCAGCTTTTTTAAAAGAACGAGGACAAAATCTATTCACTGACATGAAAAGATTTCTAGGATATATTGTTAAATTGTAAAAGTCAAAATAAAATATATGATTTTGTGTAATAAATAGGGAGAAATGATAGTATGTATTATCTACTAAAGAGATAATAAAGTTCTGCAAGGATGCATATAAAACTCACAGGACTGGTTTACTATGAGTACGTGGGGTGAGATGGAATGGAACCAAGAAGGTGGGAGCAGGATGAGAGGAAGGTTTTCATAACATATCTTTACGTGTTGAGTAATGACATTGTATTATCTATTCTAAATAAATAATTACAAATAAAAAATAAAAAACTAGTCTAATAGGTAATTAAAATATGCAGGTTAAAATGATGAGATCTGCTTTTTTACCTATCATATTGGCAAGCGTTTTTTGAAATAATATCCTCATTGCTAAGTTAGGCTCAAAAATGCTAGAGGAAAAATTAACACATTTCTGGAAAGTAAAGTGGTAACAGAGTTCAAGTCTTAAGTATTTTATTCCCCTCAATCCAGAAAGTCCTCTTTCAGATTCCATCCTAAGGAAATAATTGTAACATATTTTTTAAAAAATGAATGGTCAAAATATGAATGTAAAGTATGGAAAAGAACCCAGTGTGTTAATAAGAATTACTCCATACCTTTCTTTTCAGTTTTTTCTTTTACTTTTTCTTTGTCTTTTTCTTTTACTTTTTCTTTATCTTTTTCTTTTTCTCTGTGTGTAACTGGAACAAAAAAGATAATACTTTTCATTTAAATACAAGGAATAAATAACCAGACAATCACATGGCAGTTTTTGATGTTGAAAATTTATGTTACTTTTAAAAATCTTCCATTAACTGCCATGAGATTTTACATAAAGTTTCAGACTTCAAGATATTTATAGATTTATTTTTTATTTCATATCCAAGTATAATCTAGTACCAAAGCCAAGATTTCAAAGATAAGACTATCCCTCAGATTTTCCAAACTTTAATTTAATGAATTATAAAATTAAAAAGGTTATTATGCCAAAGGAGTCTAAGCTCTTTCAGTAATACCTTTGTAATATTCCTCTTACCCATCTTTTTTTATCCAATATTACACCCCTATCATTTATTTATACAAGAATATAGAGAAAACACTTTCTATGAGCTAAAGACTCTGCTAGGCAGGACAGATTCCATCCCTGTCATCACGATGTCAACAAGTTAATGCGTGATGGATGCTAAACAAATAATTACAAAGATAAGTACCTGTCATTATAATTGCTATGAAGAAAATATGGGAGATGACACATCGATATATAAAATGGGACCTAATGTAGTCTGCACGTTTGGGGAAGGCCCCTTGGCAGAAGGGACATTTAAGAATGAAAAATTAGAAGAAATTAACCTAGGAAGAGAAAGGGAAGAACAAAAAACAAAGAAATTATTTTAGAAAGTTGGAGCAGAATGTCCATCTTGGGAATATTATTATACCTATTATAATAACATTCTGAGTAACCATTTGAACCTTTAGATTTAGATTTTTCTCTCTCACAGTAACCTTTCCAACATGATAATCTGGTCATATCATTCACCTGTTTTAAATATTAGCAGCCTCCTCAGTGCTTAGCAAAGTATCTATGACATAGTAGATACTATGTCAAATATAAAAATATTTAATTGCTCTAGGAATCTGACATTTGCTTGCCAACCCAATCTCATCTACCAGGAATTTCTCCTTGAACTTTACACTCCCATTTTAACAAAATACTTGTAGGTCCACAAGCATACCATGTTCCCTTACAATGCCTTTGTATCTCTGCCTGTTTGTGCCTTCTACCTAGAATTCCCACACTCACATTTCCTATTTTCCATTCCCTGTTCCATGTATTCTTTCATTGTGGTTCTAGTGCCTCCTCTTCTTTAAAGTTGTTTTTTTTTTTGTTTTGTTTTGTTTTGTTTTTTTTGGTGGATCTCTACTTATTCTAAATACTAATTGCCTGTATACATAACTGTATTTTAGCAATTAAATAATAACACAACAATTGTTCACATGTTTGATTCTACAGTGTATGAAATCTTTAGAAGCTATGCCATAGGATTTTATTTTTGCATCACTGGCTCATCATGTGGTGTTTGTCACATAGTAGATTCTTCAAAATACCTTTGTATGAGTAAAATTCTAAAATGCTATCAGAAGAGCTAGTTTCATCTTCTAGTTAAATTTTGTTTATGAATGATATGGTATAGATATAATAGGCACTACTTGCTTCCTATCATTTGAAAGTTTTTTATAATTTATTAAAAATCCTTAAATAATTAAAACTTAGAAACAGCAGTAAAAAAATTCCTAAGAACATATTATTTTTTCTTTCCACATTTAATGGTTCTTTTAGGTGTTTCTGAGCTACTAAGTTCGATATAAATACCTCACAAAATACAGCAAGAAAATCACCATTCGCACTGACTGCAAATGGTTTATTTTGGTTCCTTTAGATCACTATTAATTAAGCTAAAAACCAAAAGAAAATCTTGGCAAAAACAAAGGCTCTTTTAAAGTTTCTCTAGGGGGAACCAAGTTTGTGTGAGATAAGCTGTGCTTTCAGAGCTCTGATTGGAAAGACCCCCGGGGAACACCTAATCTTTGTCTCTGCCTCTGTAAAGAATGGGACTCACCCACCTCGGACAGCTGGTTGTCCATTCCACTAAAGGATTTTCAGATTGACATGTGCACAGGCATAAATGGGAGAATTGATGCAAAATCAAAAGAGCAAAGGGGCTGAATTCAGACTCAAATTAGCATATTAATGCCTCATTTCTGTTACCCTGGGGAAGAATCTGGTTCCTCCCAGTCAAAGTTGTGATTTACAGACACAGCACTGAATGCTGGAATTTCATTAGCCCTCTCAGAAATGGCTTCACAACTTTGCTTAGTGAAGCAGCTGGACCCATGTGCTCGAGGGAGCTGTTCAAAATGGCAGACAGCCACCAAGCCTTCTTGGATGGAAACTTCAAACTTTGGCAAGACTGTGCTAAAATACCAAGTTTTGAAATGTCTTTCCACACAACTATGCAACAATCAGTAACTGCTTTGGCAATCATTCTAAAAGAAAAATGATTTGCCATAACCATTGCTTTTGCTTATTCATCTCTTTGCTTAGAACCCATAAGCAGGAGTTTTCATATAGAAGAAGAAGCGTACCTCCTTGTCACCAGCCATGTTTGGTAGAGTTATATCTCAGCCAGGACTGTTTTAGCTTAGGATAAAATAAGCTTTTTGCACCTGCTAGAGCTTAATGTGTTTGTCATCCTTATTTACAAGAAACAAAAGTCCCTTTGGTATGCTGATAATTAAAAACAAATGGAATCTACCAGTTAGAATGGCCCTGATGTTTGGCAGTGGGGTTGGCATGGCCTTTCTGTTCTTGCATTTGCCCAGACTCTGACCTTTCCCTGACCAGAACATTCAGCTCAACTCAACTCAAGCGAATCTCTCACCCTCCCATATGGCCCTTCTCCAGCACTCCGCAAGCTGTGCTGTCTGCTTTTGCTTTTGACCCTGGAAACCGCCAGGCAGACTGTAGTGTATTAGAGTTCACAGTGTGCCTGACCCTGCTGTTCTTTATGGGGCAAAACACTCCCTGGTGCCAAACAGTAGAGGCCATGTTGTCAGAGTTCTTTTCTTGATCTCTCTGCTCTTAGTTTAAAAATCAAAAGTTTCAGTGCCAAAATTTTTAAAATACTGATTTGTGTAGGCTACTACATTCTTAAATTGATGGTTAGCAAATAAATGGAATTAGCCAAAACTCTAGAATTCACACTTGACATCAGACTACTACATAGGACAAACCTTAAGTACCTAAACCAAAAGAAATCAGATATATAAGCAAGTAAGCACAATATCTTTTCATTATAAAAAGACTATGGGGAGTATGGTTACATGTAATAGATTTTTCTCATTTCTCTTTTAATTAATTTCTCTGCTTTTCGCATTTCTAGTGCTTTTTTTTTTTTTGCTTTGTTGCTCTCTATAGCTCTCTAGCGCTTTTTAAACCATAGGTATTAGTACTAAAGTAATATATAAATTTTAAATAGGTCAACATTTCAAACAGCTTCATAGAATTCATATACATTAATGTTTTCATTCACCATTTTTCTTTATGAAAGAACATCATACACATCCATTCATCTTAAACTCTTAAAAAACAAATCTTGTTTCAGCCGCTACTAAACAAAAACTCCAGATGTACTCTTGGTTAATGTGCATGTCTCCATGTGTATGTTTCATTCTTTTTGTAACAAATTTGTAGAATTTCAATTCTGTGCTAAGGCAAAATGGTCTACATGCTTTTTAAGAGACAATATAAACTCCCATAGAAAAGCATTCTTTAATAAAAAAAACTCCACAGCCTTATCTGTCCCAGGTCCTGTGCAGACTATAAACTTGTTCTTATGAGCCAAAGTGGGCTGATTGGATTCTCCAAACATGTTATCTACGATCTACCCTTCAATAGTGTGTATGCTTCTTCTTTATAATAAAATAACTTTTAAATATCTATGAAAGTGAAGATTTGGAAAATTATCCAAAGTTACAAATCTCATCTGATACATATGCATCAAATCACAAAAGAGATTTTCTCATTCTAAAATGTTAGTTTTATTCTTAAATTTAATTTAATTGTATGGACAATTTCCCCTTCACCTGGGGCTATGTAGACAAGTAAGAATTGCAATCACTTCCTCATAAGTGAACAATCACTATGGAGGCGGTGATGCGTAGCTTTGTGTACAGCGTTCTGTTCTCATTTTCTAGGTTGATATTTTACACCTGCCAGAAAGGAAAAGAAAATATATTTTATACTTTAAGGAGTCAATTAATTGTAGTAAGAGAAGAGAAAAATAAAAGTTTATACAATGCAGTTTATACATTAATTTTTATAAAAGGCTCTAGGATATTTAGTATATTTTTATGTCCTATTCTCTTTGACTTTTGAGCCTTACCATCAGCTAAATCTTCTGTCATTCTATGATTTCAATACTGCAGTTGTTGCCCAGAAACTTAAGAAGTCCTAAACCAGTCAGTGTTACTGTTCTAAATCACCCTATAAGAAAACATTCCTTAGACTTGGTGCATGTGATACTGTTATGGATTGAGTTGTGTTCCCCTAAGAAGATACATTGAAGTCATAACCCCCAGTAGCTCAGAATGAGACCTTATTTGGAAATAGGGTTTTTACAGAGACAATCAGGTTGAAATAAAGTTATCAGGCTGGTCTCTAATCTAATATGCCTGATGCCCCTTAGAGAAAAGGTAAATTTGGACACAGAGATAGACATGAGCAGAGGGAACACTGTATGAAAAGACACAGGCACAGGGAGAACACCGTTTGAAGATGAAGGCAGAAACTGGATGGATTTATCTATGAGACCAAGTTCGCCATCAAACCACCAGAAGCTAGGAGAGAGCCATGGAACAGATTCTCCCTCACAGCCCTCAGAAGGAACTAATACTGTGGAAACCTTGACTTTGGACTTCTAGCCTCTATAACTATGAAACAATAAACTTGGGTTATTTTAAGCCACCCAGTTTTGTTACTTAGTTATGGCAGCCCTAGAAAATTAATATTAATATTAATACTAATTCTAATAATTAGATTTCTGTTGTGCCCCTTTTATCAAATTTCCACCTGATTCCTTAAGGACTGATCTCTGACTTAGCTCTTATGTCTTCCATTTTAAGTTCCAAAGTCCACATCTGA